CCCTTGAGATCCTGTTAGAAATAGTCCTTGTTCCCCTTACTTTGGAAAACTACTTGGTTACTGAGCTACCACGGGCCACATCCGAGCAGAAGTTCTATGTTATATCCATAGATGGTCCTTGGTTGAGTGTCAGTCTCAGAAAAGGCCCTGTGCCCGGATATATTTGGTACTTGTAGAGTTAATTTTGTATCCAGCCACTTTGCTGAAGGTGTTTATCAGCTGTAGGAGTTCCCTGATAGAAATTTTGGGGTCACTCAAGAATACTATCATATCATCTGCAAATAGTGATACTTTGACTTCTTCCTTTCCAATTTTTATCCCCTTGATTTCCTTTAATTGTCTTACTGCTCTAGCAAGGACTTCAAGAACTACGTTGAAGAGAGACACTATCCAAGTTAACAAAATCAGAAATGAAAAGGGGGACATAACTACAGACACTGAGGAAATCCAACCAATCATTAGGATTTACTTCAAAAGTCTGTAGGCCACAAAATTTGGAAATCCAAATGAAATGGACAATTTTCTTGATTGATTCCAATTACTAAAGCTGAATCAAGACCATGTAAATCAATTAAATAGTCCTATATCCCTAAGGAAATAGAAGCTGTCATCAAAAGTCTCCCATCCAAAAAAAGCTCAGGGCCAGATGATTTCAGTGCAGAATTCTACCAGACCTTCAAAGAAGAGCTAACACCAATGCTCTTCAAACTATTCCGCAAAATGGAAACAGAAGGAATACTACCAAACTCACTCTATGAAGCCACAATCACCTTGGTACCTAAACCTCACAAAGAAAGAGAATTTCAGGCCAATCTCCCTTATGAACATTGATGCAAAAATATTCAACAAAATACTTGCAAACCAAATCCAAGAACACATCAAAGCTATCATCCACTATGACCAAGTAGGCTTCATCCCAGGTATGCAGGGGTGGTTCAATATACGGAAATCCATCAATATGAACCACCATATAAACAAACTGAAAGAAATAAATCACATGATAATCTCCCTAGATGCTGAAAAGGCATTTGACAAAATCCAACATCCATTCGTGTTTAAAGTATTGGAGAGATCAGAGATACAAGGCACATACCTAAATATAGTAAAAGCAATATACAGCAAGCCTATAGCCAACATCAAACTAAATGGAGAGAAATTTAAAGCAACCACACTGAAATCAGGGACAAGGCAAGCCTGCCCACTCTCTCCATATCTCTATACTTTATTCTTAAGAGATGATTAGCAGAGCTGTTCCAGCTGGTGGGGAAGTCTAACTAGGAGCATTGTAATTAAAGACAATTTTACTTGTATTCTCAGTTTTCTAAAGCCTCCAGTCTCCAGAAGATATATATTGTCCCACACAGATCAGGTTTATTTTTAATATTCTTTAGTTTAGAGTGACTCTATTTGACAGACAACAGAGACAAAAGGTATACATAAACTCACAAACACACAGATACACGCACATGAAGGATGCTTGTCAACATTGTAAGAGGAGTAATTACACTGTAACTTAAACTCTTTCTTCCAGTCTTCATTTCTATGAAATACTGCAGAATGGCCCTAAGCCTTAGTAAACTCCCTTGCAGTTCTTTTAAGTAGTTTGTAAACACAATAACTGTATCAAAACCCAATCCCCAGTCCTGAGTCCTATTTTTTACCTGTTTCATATGATGGATTATTCAGTGAAAAACTCATTCTTGGGAAAAATGTTATTTCGCACTATTTTGTTGTCCGTAAGGATTATGCTCCTCTGAGAAGCTATAGCACAGCTCCTTCTATTCTCTCTGGTTCTATAGTAATTCTTATTGTTCACGCTGATAATCCTCAGGGAGTTCATACAGAACCACAAATCTATCCCTCTTTTAGTCTTATTATCACCATGTAATATAATGCTTCCATGGGCAATTCAGTTAATTCTTAAATGTGACGTATGCAACAATTATGGTCATTAAACATCGACATATAGAAACATCATTAAATATCAATTAAAAGAAAATGAAGTTTCCTCTTCAGAGTAAGAAGTGATTCGAGAAAAATTCTTTAACTTTAGCACATATTTAAATGCAGCTCTGCACACACGAGGCAATTGTCAGGCAGGTGTGAGGTGAAAGCATTATCAATTATTTTCATCCCTTTGGAGTCACAGTAAAATAGAATGTCCGGTACTCAGCCCCCCAAAGACTAAGTGAAGATCAGCATTTCAGAAATGGGGAAACTTAAGCACCCAAGAGTCAAAGAGACTAAAACCTGAAGGACACAGGGCATTGTTTCTCTCTTTTACCCTTATGCTTAGCACACATGTATTTATGATTTCCGCTTATCCTGGATTTTCCATGTAACTGGTTTTTGTTGTCTTGGAGTTAAAAATACTAAAATTGAATCTTATCTTTGTGAATAATTTCCAATAATTAAACATTCTGCCTTTTGTAATACAACATTTGATAACTACACTATTAGCAATTATTGTAAACAGCGTATGAACAAAAACATTATATAATCACACTTTTAAAGAAGATTGTGGTAAAAATGCTGTTGGGTTTACTAGCCATAGACATGGAAAACAGCATGTCCTTTTAAATTAGAGTTAGTGAATAACTTGAGATTGTAAAGGTTGTGCTTCCTTTTGAGTAATGTTGAATTTTTAATACAAATTCAAGAGTGCTTATTAGCAAGAAAATTGCACCGGTTCTTAAAAGTTCTCATTCCATCTTAGTAAAACATAGCTGCAGTTTAGTTTTCATTAGGAGGGAGGCCAGTGTTCTTTTCCTCTTAGCCAGCTTTGACAATCACAAAGACGTGACAATCTACAAACTCATTCCTCTGCCATCCTGAGCATACACACACTGGGATTCTTGCAGTTAGGAGTAAGCACATAGGAACAGAGTCACTGGTTTAAATTTTCTGATTATAAGGTCAGGTATGAGCTATAGCTTTGATGCCACTACTGCCTTCATATACATTCCCTCATTTGTTATGATATACAACTCCTCTGCACTGGGTGAATTTGTTTACTGTATTACAGCTCCAGTTTAAGAGGGTTAGGATAGAAACCTAGCCATCCCCATGCCTGTAACTGCAGGAAAGGAGAAACAACAATGTAGCTGTATTACATTCAAACCATTTGGTGTAGAGGAATTTTAAGTCAGAGCATGGCTGTTCTGGCAAGAGATCACATCTAAAGACCTTCTAGGTCTGTGTGATCCAGCTGGAATACAGACACACCTTTAATCCCAGGAGACAGAGGCAAGAAGATCTTTGAGTTCAAGGCCAGTCTGGTATAGAGCAAGTTTCAGGTAAAGAAAAGCTTAAGTCCACATGAGCTGGTACACTTCCTTTAATCGCAGCACTCAGGAGACAGAGGCACACAGAGTTCTAGTTAGTGCTGCTCAGGAAGTTGGGTTGAGAGTGAGCTGAGAGACAATTCAATGCAGTTGAATTCCTGGCTTCAGTTTGAGGAAATTCAGAGGTAAATTTTACTGGGAGAGTTTTCCAGGGAGGGTTTAAGAAAGAACAAGCTAGACACAGGTGAAGACAGAATGAGCCAGGGAATGAGAAGAAGCCAAAGAATAAAACAGATTGCTAGAGTTAGTTTGAGGCCAAGCAGAGCAATTTAGTGAGAAATTGAGAGAGCCAGATTGAATTTGTCAGCTTGGAGAGGAGTTTGAGCCAGAATAGCTGAGTTAGACTATCCAGGAAGAGTTCAGAAAGAACCAGAAAGGGTGAGCTTATTCAGCAGTAGGTCTCAGAGGCTGACAGTATTCTAGGCCTAGATTAGACTTTATGGAGGCTAGAAGCTTCCAGGACTAGACCTAGGAGTCAGTAAGCCTCCAAGACAACAATTACATCAGGAGAATAAAAGTAACTTTAACAATTTGGACCTCATAAGGGACTTCAGGCAAAGTTATCACGGACCTTGCCTCAAGTTGGAAACTATATTTATTTTATCAATGGCAACCCATTATATTTTCTTATTTATTGCTTTCTAGGAACTCCATGTGTATGCATGGTATCAATATCGCTGGCCACCTTCTTCCATCCCCTTTCTAACTCTTCTTGAGTCCCCACACGGATTCCCACCCAAATTTATTTTTAGTTATTATTGTTATACATATGTAACAATAGTAATATTTAAATGATTGCATTTACATGTGGCTATATATCATGTGTGTGTGTGTGTGTGTGTGTGTGTGTGTGTGTGTGTGTGTGTGTGGTTGTAAGAGCCACAGCCTTGACACATCAAGGTAGGTGAGGAAAATCACACAAAGTTCCACCCCTACATGAAGAGCTACAAGTGGCCAGTGGCTACTGAGAATGATAATCAGTTTTCTTCAGGGATGAACTCTTATCAATTAACCAGTCTTTGATATACAAATAAGGAATGATAAATAGGCACATGTCTACCTTTTGTTAATATATAAAAATAAACTAAAGTTTAAAAGGCATTAGTTTCATAGGGTAATAGATATTAGTTCACAAAATTTTAATTCTAAATATTAGAACTTTCCATGAGTTTAATCTTGAATGCTAGTATGCCAAAACACTGCTCCTACCAGTTTTTGTTCTTAGATCATCATGTGTCCATCTGATAAACTCAGAAGGTGAAATGCTCTATTTGGTCCATGCTGATGAGATGGCCAGTTCATCTGAGGGAACAGTCGAAACCATCAAGTAGAGCAATGACCCCAGTGGCAAGGCACTCGTGAACTCAGAGAAGCTCAGTTTCCTGCCTAGGGTCTGCACAAGACCGCACTCATCAACAGTCAGTTATGAACAGGCTCGTGGGGTCCAGCCCTCCTGAGTAAGCTGCTGGCAGCTGAAGGCTAATGCAGGAAGGAGAGTCATTGTCCTCCTTGGTGTAGTGACAGGGAGCACCAGGGATAGCACTACTCTTTCTTGTATCCTTGATATGGAATCATTAGCCATGTGTAATACTGTTATCAGAAAGCAAGCAAGCAAAAGAACACTAATGTGAGAAATTACTTTTGAACTCTTTGCAGATATAGATGAGTGCATCGAGTCCTCTGTCTGCGGTGACCATGCTGTGTGTGAAAATGTGAACGGAGGGTTTAACTGCTTCTGCAGGGAAGGTTACCAGACCGCCACGGGGAAGTCGCAGTTCACACCTAATGATGGCTCTTACTGCCAAGGTAACTTACAGCCTTCAACCTGAAACTATATGAAGTATTTACTACACATTTGTGAAGCATCAGTGAGCTACATCGCCTAGGTTAAACAAGCCAAGGTCACAAAATGAAATTAAGAACAAAACAAAACTGGTCCTGAGAGGGGACCTTGTTTGGGAAAGAGGGTAAAGAGTGGGATAGGAAGAAGGGAGGATGAGTGACCAAAATATACTTCGAGCAAGTCTGAAATTGTCATGGAAAAGGTGTAGTCTGTGAAATTCTGTCCTTTGGACACGACATGGCAGTTGCACATGAGAACTCAAAGCAGCTATGGTTACCTGCATGAGATCCCTGTAAAATTAAGCTAGCTTAGTTTCCTCCATGGACTGGGAAGGGGCTCGTGAGGCCTAACCCCTGTCTGATGAGCTAGTGGTATTTGGTGGCTGCTGGACAAGGAAGACTCACTGTTCCTTAGGAGAGTGACCCCTGACAGGTTCCTCAAGTCCCCGTGGATGGCCCAGACAGATACAGGCAGCACTAACTGAACCAAACTATGGAAAAAGAAATAAGAAGAAGAACAGAGGGAGAAAGAGGAGAGACAGAGAGACATGTGATGGAAAGTCGGGTTGAGAAGTGGAGTGGAGTGGATACGATCAAGGTATAAATATATAAAATTTTCAAATTTTCCAAAACCAGCGTAAAGAAGACAGAGGAAGAAAATAAATGTGTTGAAAGTCACCATGCAGCATGGTGAACAGAGTTGAGTTTACAGAACAATGTTTTTGTTTTGCTCAGGCTTGGTTTTAGGTAAAGTTCATGGTAATGCTGCACAGTTAAAGAATCAGGTCCTTAAAGTGGCCTCTAACATGACAAAATTTGGTTACACAAGAATGTGTTAACTGCCCCTACCATGAAATGATACGTACCATCTGTGACACTCAGTTGGTCTGCACACAGCCTTATGTAGGCAGTTTTCCCATTGGACTGCAACATGTGCTTCTAAAAGGGCACTGCAGAGGAGGGGCTCTCGGTGACATGCATGGTGCCAGGCCTGCCGTCTCTGAACCCGGAAGACTCTGGCACGAAGATTGTCGTGAATTCAAGGGCTGCACAATGAGCTCCAGAGAGCGTTGTGAGAAGCCTGTCTCAATCCAAGAGTAAAAGACTGGCTTGAACTGCAGGTTCCCACTTGGTTGACTTTGTTTCTCTTCTGCCTCATTCCTTCCAACTCCCATGCAGCTTAGAGAACAAGGATTGACGGTTCCTCCCTTATAATGGTCAGCACTCGATGGCTCTTTCCATTAGTGTAGAATCAATTTGAATAGGATGATAGTTTCTGAACATTCATATGAGTGAAAATAAATAAGGGGCGGCACTCACTGAGAGGCTGTGTACTCACCATGGATGTGTACACATCATCGGATGTTTCTAACCTTCCATCTGGTAATGTTCTTTATAATCTAGTACCACCATCTTTCTAGCTAACGCAAAGTTCTTCAAGAAGCAAGCAAGGGCTTTGAGCCTATTTTCTGTTGTATGAGCTACAGGTTTTCCTGTGCCTTCACTGTATCTTTAAATGAAATATTGGGAATAGCTGAATTTAAGACAACAGCTTGATGACGTTTTAAATTAGACTGTAATAGCTCCCTGGTAAATGGTACCATGCCATCTTGTTATTGTAATAATCAAATTATAAATTAAAATTGCAGGTTCATTCATTAATCTAATAGAAAGTGTTTCTAAGATGCCAGAACTGGGCTCTGCACACACACACACACACACATACACACACACACACACTCAATCTTTGCATTAATTTAAGGTAATGATCTGGACTATTCAGTTCCTTGGAATCATTCCCCAACCTGGCAGTGTATTTATATTGTATTTATAACTTTAAGGCACATTTCACTGCAGTGTGTAAAATTCTAAATTAAGAATATAAATGATGTGAGCTTAAAAACCTAGCACCTTTATTACAGCGTCAATATATAGCAACTGAGAATCTCAGACTTAATTCTGTGCAATTTATTACTTCATCCATACTCAACTATGATGATTGCATATTAGAATCATAGTCCAAATGTAATGTGAACAAAAGTAATCAATCGTAATAAATCTTAAGAGAGTTGAATCACATAATGTGCTAGACCTTAGTTTTCGCTTAAATCACACACAGAAATGAAGCTTTAGAGAGCGAGTCCACCTTTATCCTCCAGGCTACTTTAAACTGAGTTATCATCAGTTTAGCCTAACACTGCCAGGCAAATAATTCTAAGTGCACTTTGAAAACTGAGTCTTTATTAAATTAGAACTACTGGTACATCTTAGATGATGGGAATAGATTTACTGACTTTGTTGATGAATCATGCTACTCAGAAAACAATTTGAGAGTGTGGTCCATGAATAACATTTTCAATACTCTGTCAGAATGGATTGGCCAAATTAGAGTTAAGAAATGCATGTAGTCAAGTTTGTTCTCTCTTTTTCCAAATGGTGGGATTTCCCCTGCTTTCTTGTATCAGTTGATATGGAATCACTAGCCATATGTAATGCTGTTATCAGAAAGCAAGCAAGCAAAAGAACACTAATGTGAGAAATTACTTTTGAACTCTTTGCAGATATAGATGAGTGCATCGAGTCCTCTGTCTGCGGTGACCACGCTGTGTGTGAAAATCTGAACGGAGGGTTTAACTGCTTCTGCAGGGAAGGTTACCAGACCGCCACGGGGAAGTCGCAGTTCACACCTAATGATGGCTCTTACTGCCAAGGTGACTTACAGCCTTCAACCTGAAACTATATGAAGTATTTACTACACATTTGTGAAGCATCAGTGAGCTACATTGCCAAGACCTACGCCAGCACTGACCAAGGTTGACGCGCCACGTTAAGAAAGGTCCATTGTTTCCCTGAAGGGAAGATGGAAGCAGCATATCTAACGTAGCCCGCACTCGTTCCCTCTTCCTTACACTACTTTCTTCTGTTTTCTGTGATACATTACGTATTCTGGAACTCAAATGGAATCTCAAAGGTTAAAGAATACATTTTTAATGTTTAAATGAACAAAATCATTCAAGTCAACACAATCAGCTTAGGAAAAATGGTTTGTAGACTCACTGTGGAATGTGTTTTCTTTTTCTACAGAAAGCATGAATTCAAATTGCCACTTAGAGCCTGCCTGCATTGCTGCAAACGTTAATAAAACTTTAAAAAGAGTAAGTAGACACTTTCGGTTGAAATATATTTTATTTTGGCATTTTGATCTCAGTTAGAGATCAAAAGTGCTACCAAAGTCCTGTTTGAAAACATTAGCAGCTGAACCTCATATAGAATTTAAACTGTTTGCACAAAGCCATGTATTATTTACATCGCATATAAGATTAATTTGAAACTTTCCAAAGCATTGTAGAAGACTTTATCCTGTTTAATTATGCTATTCTTTTCATTATTTGGTGTATTGGAAAATTATTTTAAACATGAAAGGAAGTTGTTGAATAAAATGGTTAAAACACATATTGGCTCAGACCCAGTACCACATTCCAACGAGACATAGTTAAGTGCAACTTGATTTCATACTTCAAAGTGCATACTTCAAAGAGCAATAAAGTAGGACATTCATAAAATTGTTGTTATGTGGTTGAAAGGGTGAATCACACTATGAGGAATGAACTTCTGGCGAAAGCATTTTCATTTCATCGCATACTGAGGAACGTTTGATGGAAAACAATCAGATTCAGGTTTTAGGTCATAATTTCTTACTTATAATATCAAAACTTGTAAGAACTAATAAATTTAAATGTTGAGATAGGTTCACTGGCTAGGATATAAGTCTATACTTGAAAAAAAAGTTCTTTTCAAAATTATTTTTAAATTCTCAATTAAAATAAGCTCTGTGTTTCTGAGTTATGCTCAAAGCTTTCCCAGTTGCTTATAAAGCCTTTGTAAATAAATTCTTTTGTCATTGATACATGTCATGATTTCAGTTTAACCTGATAATACATTATTCATATATGACAAGGAATTCAGCCTCTGGGTAAATTTGATGTATGTCTCACTCTGGATTTTAATGCATGTGGACTTGTGTCTAATATGTACACATGAATGTATGTTCATATATGTGGCTGCCATGTGCATGTGGAGGCCAGATGCTAATGCTTGATGGCTTCTTCAATCATTTTTTCACCTTAGTTTCTGAGACAGGCTCTTTCTCTCTCTTTCTCTGTCTTTCTCTCTCTCTGTGTGTGTGTGTGTGTGTGTGTGTTTGTGTGTGTGTGTGTGTATCTGTGTGCATATGTGTGTGTGTGTGTCTTTCTCCCTCTCCCTCCCTCCCAAAGCTTGCAGGCTGGACTAGTTAGACAGCTTGCCCCAGAGACCCTTCGTCTCCACCTCCATGCACTGGGGTTACTGGTGGGCTGCCACCCACAATATCTTTACAGAGAGTCTGGGTATGTGAAGGCTGGTCCTCAAACTTATATGGCAAGTGTTCTTCTCACCGGACCAATTTTCCAACCATATAAAACTTATTTATAAAACCTTCCAACAGACATCCAATTCCCTTCTTCTGGCCTCATTGTTTTTCTCAGATTGGACCCATGAAAGAACAGATGACCTTATTCCAAGAAATCTACTTAAATTCTGAGGCTGAGCTCTCCCTGATGGATGTAATCACATACATAGAGATACTAGCAGAACCTCCTCCACTTCTAGGTCACGTGAACAACACCATTTTATCCACGAATGACCATTTCAATTTAACTCTTACTGTGAGTATGTTGATATTTAATACATAGTGCAGTTGATCTTTAAGTTGTTTCTTGTAATTCTGTTCAGTGTGATATAACCATTTCTAGTTAGTATGATATGGAAAGGATAGGAGCTCTACAAGGACCAAATATATCTGGGCACAGGGTCTTTTCTGAGACTGACACTCAACCAAGGACCATCTATGGATATAACCTAGAACTTCTGCTCGGATGTGGCCTGTGGTAGCTCAGTAACCAAGTAGTTTTCCAAAGTAAGGGGAACACGGACTATTTCTAACAGGATCTCAAGGGCAGGCTGTTTGACACCCCCCCCCCAGGGGAGGAGCAGTCTGTTAGGCCACAGAGGAGGACTTTGCAGCCAGCCCTGAAGATACCTGATAAAACAGGGTCAGATGAAAGGGGAGGAGGTCCTCCCCTATCAGGGGACTTGGAAAGGGGCAGGGAGGAGACCAGGGAGGGAGTGTGGGGTTGGGGAGGGAATGAGGGAGCGGGATATAGCTGGGACACAGAGTTAACAAAATGTAACTAAAAATAAAAATATAAAAAATAAAAAAAAAACATGTTTTTTCTTAAATAGGAATTTGTGAAAACCATCAATAATTTTGTTCAAAATAACACACTTAAAATTTGGGACCAATTACCTTCAAATCATAGAAGACTACATCTCACAAAACTGATGCACGCTGCCGAGAACATCACCTTAAAAATCTCTCAGAACTTTCAAAAAATTGCTCAGTTCAGTATGAGTTCCACTGATATAGGTAAGGCCTGGAGATGAATGGTCTGCTTCAAAGCAGTAGCATTTTCCAAACAAGACAGTAAGGGGCAGTTCCTGTCATGTTAAGTTTCACACAGTAGTGTGAGTGGAGAAATGAATGCTGGTTTATGTTAAACAATATGAACGGAGAACCATGCTAGTAAAGAGATTGACTATATAGATTTGCCCCTGTCTTTCCTGCCTCCTTTTTCCTATCCATACACTGTTTATCATGAAAGTTGGCAGAAGATATTTTTCCACTGTCATGTTCACTCAGTTGTCTCCTGAAACTATAATATTTACATCAGGAATTATGCATATGAAATATTTAAATTTTTCTTTAAGAATGCTTTGCCTTGTGATAACATGAGGCTATTACACTAATGAAATAAGTTTCCTCCTTCATGCAGTTACTGAAAAAAATACTAACATTATGAATAAAGTTAAGAATGGTTTCTTCTGAAGAATCAAGATGTTTTATTATGTATTCATTGAGTGTACCTCTATTGCATCTCTGGCTGATATTCAACTAGGCAGTTGTATATTGATAGAAGGATTATCTCATTGATATTCACCACTTGCCCAAATTAAAACTAAAAATGATGAAATTACCATGTAGGCATACTATGTTTTTGTGTAAAGGATGTGGTAATGTACCCCCAAAGGGAATTATTACTCAAAAATGTAATTATGTCAATCTTTCGAGAGTAAGTTATATTTACATTGCACATAGTATACAGGTATGCCCAATCTTTTGACACTGAGGCAAGACATTGTCATCTACAAAGTTTACAAAATTGTATTTAAGTTTTATTTAAGTTTACTATTTCATGTGATGCCATACTCGTATCTTTTCTGGATGCGGCTGATGGGCTGTGGGTGAGACAGACCTGTTTGACAGTAGTCCTTCATTGCCTTTGAAATTGTGTGTGGATACTCATGCCTGTGTAGATGTTAGTGTTTTATTTTAGCTCACGAAAGATTAAGCCATGAATGCAATAGTCAAAAGACAGAAAACTAAATTTCCTAGGTTTCTCAGTTTTAGGGGGCATGCATTAAACTGCCCCAAGAAATGAAGTGGTGTCTAACACAAATGCCTCTGAATTTAAAACTTACATTGATTAAACTAATTTTAGAATATGTCTTATTTCCATGGTCTTATTTCAGCTCTGAAGGTCTTTGTTTTTGATTCAAATCATATGAAGCATGCTCATCCCCATATGAATGTGGACGAAGGCTATGTAAAAATATTTCCAAAGAGAAAAGCTTCACATGACTCAACTGGTATGACTTAACATCTTATGCATATTCAGGAATTTCTGATAAATAGTTAATATGCACTTGGCTATTTCACAAATATACATATAATTTTCTATAGAAACATTTTAAGTTTCTTTACAGAATAGCTGAGATTTCTCTCTGACATGATTACCTGAGGAGAACTTTAACCAGTAATATCCTAATTTTTCATCATGAAACCAAATTTGTGATTGCATGAAAGGATGTTCTTTAAAAAAAAAAAAAGACAAAAAACAGTGATTATTTCTTAGGCTTAACCTTTTCTTTCATTCATCATTCCTTAGCTTTTGTATAGTAAAGTCTAAGTCAGATGCAACTTAAAAAAGTTAAGAGAGAGAATGCTAGTGGCAAGCAATTTAGTGATCATCTGATTTAACAAGCTCATTTCGTAGATAATGGAACTAAGGTGGAAAGTTAATGGATTTGTCTCCATGTTTATCAGCGAATAGTTTAGAGCAATACTAGAAAGAAAAAAGTTAATAAAAAAAAATCAACTCAACAAGCTTTTCCTTGTCACCTAACTGGAGTGAAGCAAGTAGTTACTGCTTTAATTTATTTTATCATTTATCTCCTCTTGGAGAAATGAGCATGGAAAATTCTCTCTATCATGGCATAAGTTCTCTTGTAGTTGTTCTCTCATTGGTAGAGATATATTTTTGAGGGTAAGCATGAATTGAAACCTTTACTCAGCGAGTGTGTGGGTAATCATAAACACAGATGAAACTATGCAGTAAACACACAGAGAAACTGCTTTACGAACTGACAGACTTTATCCTTAATGACTATTCTACAAGTTAGCCTCATGATATTTTCTTTGTTGTGCTTCAGTTCGTTTTGTTTCCACTGCTTGGGATTTTTTTTTTCTCCATTCTTTATCTTCACTGTTATTTGTTTTCTGATCAAAGTGAGAAACATATAGTTTCAAAACAAATGAAAAATAACTGAACCTTTATCTCTTATGCTACTAAACCATATTGTAATCAACAGAGCATACATATGATATTTATGAACATATCCACAGAACCTGTTAAACAGTTGAAATTTCAGACAATGTAAATGGTATTTAGAAGTTATGGAAAACACATTGAAAATACCTATTATGGTGACAAATGATGACATTGTCACAGAATTAAAATCTCAGAGAGATGCTGACTGATTGTATGGTAGCACTGTTATGTTTAATGATGACACACATAAATGGACAGCTGAAGGAGATCAGATCTCAATAAGGCAGAGTGAGAAAATGTCTTTTCCTCAAGGTTGAATCTTAAAGGAATATACAAACATACAAATGGATCTTGCCTCCCAGTGATGTCTGCATTTGATTTCACTTGTGAAATTCATTAGAAAAGACAAAAGACGCCATTGATAGGAATTAAGGGGATCAAGAAGCACAAATGGGTTTTTGCACTATCTTGTAAGCAGAATTTAGAAATGTGACAGGGACAAGATAGGGTGACAAAACTAGATTCAGTGTTCTGAACCGTGGTTTTACAAAACAAACAAACAAAAAAAAACAAACAAAAAAACATAATAAATATCTGCTAAGGAATTGTACATATTTTCCTTTAATTACTTGTGAAATTAGGATAATAGTCAAATGCCCAAACACCACTGAAGAATATTCTACTGAGAAGAACACTTAGCATTCTACAAAAATAAGGAGCAATAAAGGCATCCAGGAACAAGATTCTCTCAGAAGTTCACTGTATAGTCCTTATTGGAAACTATACTCTTAAAATTTGAGAGGCAAGGAAATCATAGTTTTTTTTTTCACCCTGGTGGTTTTCAACTAACCCAGGTTGCAAAGCACTATTGTATCACTGGGAAAAAAAAAAGATTGGTAACATTAAAAACAAACAAAACAAATGAATCTAAGGGAAAATAGCTACTAACAAGTACATATCTGTACACATATATACATGTATTATATACATATATATATAAATAAATGATATATCCAGAACTGTAACATAGTCATTTGCACTAAATAAATATTCACACATTTGTTCTAGACACTCAATGAAAGGTTGTTTTTCATTCTTAAAAAAGATATGCTAAGAGAATATAGAAAGAGTACAGGACAAAGAAAGCATAAACATCATGAGCAAGAAATGAGAGCAGATGGGATTCAGTATGAAATGATGTATTCTTTACAAAAGAGTCTATATCTGCAATCCCTTTTTTGGTGAGTGGACCTTATTATTTAGTAGAAAGTACAGATTTGTTGTGTTAGTTACAAAATATCTGGTAGAAAACCTTAAAAGAAGAAAGATTTATTTGGCTCACAGTTTCAGTCAGTCCATCATGTTGGGAAGGCATGGAGGAGTTCAGGGCAGAGGGTGTAGAGGAATTTTAATCCAACAACATGGCTACTCTGACAAGGCTCACATCCAAAAACCTAGGTCTGTGAGATCCAGCTGGAATGTAGACATGACCTTATTACACACCTTTAATTCCTCTGGCTTTTACCCACCCTTAATTCCTCTGGCTGGAATTTACTATACAACTTTAATCCCAAAAAATGACATCTAAGTAAGGGGCAAAGTGATGACTCAGAGAAAGATTTGACAGAATCAGTCAGAGATAGAATATGCCCAACTTTTTCAGAAGAGAAGCTACTTAAGAGCAGCACAGAGAGAGAGAGTGAGACAAGACAGTACAGTGTAGTAGAGTGCAGCACAGGAGCACAGTGAAATTCATGGAGAGAGTACAGTAGAGTTAGGAAGTTGGTGCAATTCTCGTTGAAGTTCAGTTGAGTACAGTTCAGTTCTTGAGTTCAGAGGCAGTTACTTCAAGCAGAGTAATTCAGTGAGAAGCAGAGAGAAACCACTTTGAATCAGTCAGCGTAGATAAAAGTTTTGAGCCAGAACAGCTTAGTTGAACCAGCAAGCTAGAGTTCAGAAAGGGTTAGAAATGGTAAGCTTTATTTGGCAGTAAGTCTCGAAGGTTGAAAACATTCTAGGCCTATGTTAGCAGATGGATGCTGGAATCTGAATCCCTCAAAGTCTGAGCTTACAGAAGATTAGATTGAATAGAGGCTAGAAGCTTCCAGGCCTCGGTCTAGGGATAGTTAGATAGAAGTGCCCTGGGCTCAGCCTAAGCCATGTATTTGTAAAGCTTGGGTATGGCTCTCTTCTCATTCCATCATCTGAGGAAATAAAAACATTTACAAGGGGAAAGGGGCATGAATGAAAAATGTCAACATGCCAAGAAGCAGAGAAAGCAGGAGAGAACTGGGAGAGAGAGGAACCTTCAAAGCTTCAGGCCTACCGAGCTATCTGCAAGACAGATAACACCTTGTGAAAAAATTCCTTGCCTTCAAGGTGTCCCCACCAGCTGGAGATCAAGCATTCAAAGCATAGTTGAGTGGGAGAACATTTTACATTCAAGACTGGTAAGGAAGTTCAAAGATTAATTAGTCCTAAAATTAGCAAGAAAACATCAAAACTGAAAATGTTCAAAACACTAGGGGTAGGGGGATGCTAAAAGGATATTCATCAAGAAAATACAGTGGGGAGTTTAGAGATTTCAATGGCACCCCTTGTTCAAAATCATATATTGATGTTAAAATAAAAACATCATTTTAGATAGCAGTAGATAATAAAATAATTTAAAGACACCTTTTTTCATACACCTTTTATTTCAGTTGGGACCATTTCTTACTATGACCCCTAAGAGGTAACCATCCCTGTCAGTGGACCTGATAGTTCCTTAAATTTTCAGTCCTTCCTTCAATCCAAAGAAACACTAGCATCATGGTCATTTCTAAGAGTCTTGATGTCACTAGCTCAAATACTCCAGACTGTTCTGGTTAGGACTCTATAACATTGACCAAAAGCAAGTGGAGTGGGGGAGGCTTTATTAGACATACAGGTTACAGCCCCTCATGAGGAGAAGCCAAAGGAGAGCCTGGTGGCAGAAACTGAACTGACGCTCTGGAGGAACTCTGCTTATTGGCTCCCATAGCCGCCTTCCTCGCACAGCCCAGACACACCTGGCCAGAGAGAGCACTGCCCACAATGTGTTGCCACTGCTTACATCAGCAATCAAGAAGATTTCTCAGAGGCATGCTGATGGAAGGTCAACCTGATGGAAGCATTTCTTCAGATGCCGCTGCCTCTTCCCCAGGTGTTAACAAGCAAGTTTAACCTCCACATAGATTACTATCTATTTGCTTCATGGATAGGTGTTTCTCAAGCTGGTAGGTCAAAGAAAGGTTCTGTGATGTAGTTAGCTGAAGTAAGGCCTTGTAACAATTAAGACGAGCAGTAACATACTTCAGAAACTATACATCACACGATCATGTGTTCCGCTTTTCGGTGCGCTGTGGAGGAGCCTGGTTTTGTGAGCACAGTGCTTTCTGAATATACTGTTGATATTTGTGTTTGCGATTCTGCAGCATTGTGCTGTATTCTGACACTGAATTTGGGCAGTGCTGAGGTAAAACATGGTTCCTCTGGCTCCACAGAACTGGAATGCTTTTACATTAGGAGGAAGCACTGCAGTGATTACAAGGACAAGCTCTTTGGCAAGTCCCAGCTTAATCAGTTCGCCTTCTTCTTAATTCCAATTCATTCCCACATGGACACATGAGTTAAAAAGTTTCTCTTTAGTAGTGAATATGCCTTAGACTCTGGTTCTTTGTTAGGATCAGGCTGTCAATTTACCTAAGAATACTTTATCTCCAATCAAGTCTGGGAAAAGATGATGCCATGATAGTTCTCAGTGGTCAAAAAAAAAAAAAAAAAAAAAAAAAAAAAAAGGAAGATATGAATGTAGTAGCATAATGCACTATGGGATACTTTACCTCACATTCCAATCTAAATTTTTATGGTTTCCATCAAGTATAACTTTTGTCTACTCAGTTTTTGTGTTGAAAAGCTTTAACATACTTTCATTTTCTAAGTGTCCACTGACAACATTCATTTTATTGACAGGCAATGTTGTAGTTGCATTCCTATGCTATAAGAGCATTGGCCCCTTGCTTTCTTCATCTGAGAAATTCTCACTGGACCCTCAAAGTGATAATTCTGATGGAAAGGAAAAAGTCATTTCTTCAGTTATTTCTGCCTCAATTAGCTCAAATCCGCCCACATTGTATGAACTTGAAAAAATTACATTTACACTAAGTCATGTAAAGGTAAGTTGGTTTTCATTGTTATTTAAAATTTGTTATACATTCAGAGAACTGAAATATACTTTGGTGGTATTACTTTAGTTATATCTGAATTTTAGAGAATAAGCATATTGAAAAAATTTTAAAAGTTAATATAATTTTGATCCTTTTGCCTTTTCAGTGATGGGAAGTCTGTTCTGAGCTTGCCCTCAACCAATGATGTACTCCCCAACACTGAACTACTTTTTCTATAGAATATTTTGCACTTCTAGTTCTTCTTAAAATTTCTTGTCAACACTAAAGAGTCACAAGTGTAATGTTCTAAACTTAAGCTACATTATTTTGTTTGTTTGTTTTTTGGTCTTTTGAGACAGTATTTCTCTGTGTAGCCTTTCTTCACTGTTCTGAACTCGCTTTGTAGACAAGGCTGGCCTTGAACTCACAGACATATGCCTGCCTCTGCAATGTTTTGACAATTTTTAAGCCTATATCTTTCAGGATATAAAGATGTTGTTTAACAGCTTGTGAAATGGTTCTGTGAGCAAAACATGACAACTGGAGTTAATCCTTCAGAACCACAAGCACATGACAGAAGGACAAACTGACTCCTGCTCACACACATACACACACAAATAGATGTGATATGCTCACATGACTAGCCATCCTCTCCTGTGAAAAGTCTCCTGGGGCTACTTTCCATTTCATTTTCTTCTTCTTTCTCATTTCCTAATTTTTCATATACAAGTAGAATGGAAGATCAACAGTAAATATACATTGTTTATACATTGTTTTGGTCAATACTGCATGTTTAGTGTATACGTGACAATATTTGATAAAAATAAGTATTTGCTGAATAAAGACAGATGATGACCGCAGTGCTCTTCCTCTCTGAAATTCACATGTCATTTGATTAAAATGATCACAACTCTACAAAACTGAAATAATTGTAGCATCACTTCAATGTAAATTCCAAATCTGATGCAGAAGCACGGATGTCATTTGTCAGCACTGATTGTGTGCTCACAGGTGAGGTGCCACACTGGTTGCATCAGGGATACACTAAATGCCAGCAAGGCAAGGCTGCTGTAGACTTCCCTCTTTTTCTCAGGAGCGGGTTCACTGTTTTTCAGCTCTCAGAGGAGTATAGGACACAATGTGCCTTTTGGGACTATTCAGCCGATGCCATGGACAATGGCAGCTGGTCATCCGAAGGCTGTGAGCTGACAGACTCAAATGCCACGCACACCTCCTGCCGCTGTAGTCATCTGACACACTTTGCGATCCTGATGTCTTCCAGCACCTCCATCGTAAGTCCAGTTTGTTCACAAAAGCTTCGACCATCCTTTATCATCCTTGCTTTTCCTCTTTTTACCTCATATCATTAAAAAGAATAACCTCTTTATATTTTTCTTGGGAGACAATTGTATGTTTAATGTAATTGAAAAAACTGGGATTTTGTTTGGTTGGTTGGTTGGTCTGTTGGTTGGTTGGTCTGTTGGTTGGTTGCTTGGTTGGTTTGGTTTGGTTTTGTCTCTCTTTCTTTCCTTCATTTTCTTCTAGGACATGTATAAGGAATGATTAGGTTTTTTCCTATCAAAGACTTACTAGTCTATAACATATTTCCATTGTTCTGGATTTTACATATTTCAATAGCTACTCACACATTTTACTCTTGTGGTTTCTGGAGAAGTTTTTTTTCTTTATAATGGGTTCATTTTGATGACTGACAAAATTTGGCACATTTTTACCCAGTATATCCTTAATGAAATAAAACCCCAACAAGTCTCAAACATTAAAAAAAGGTAAATATCCTTGTAATACATATTTTGCTTCAGTAGTATTTGTTTAGACTGCATGATGGTGGTGATGGTGATGGTGATGGTGGTGGTGATTATGGTGATGGTGGTGATGATGATTATGGTGATGGTGGTGGTGATGATAGTGGGATAGTGGTGGTGGTGATGGTGGTGGCTATGTTGATGATTACATAATTTTTTTCTTTGTATCTCTGTGTTGTAATCTTCATCAGGTTGCTGATTCTATGTTTCTTCATCAGGTCACTAATTAATACCATGAAGTTTATTAAGTATCACAATTAATTTATTTGAATTAGTATCAGTTATAAGATGATTTTTCCATGGGGGTAGGGGAAGCTTCTATTCTTTGTGTGAAAATAAACAAGTGGTCTCCATTTCAGTCTCACCTGCACTATTTTGGTCTTCACATATCCCGTTTCTCTTTTACCTTTGTTTAATGTGTTCTAGATGAATCACCTCATAGACAGAAGCTCTGGACTTACTGCTGATAAATCTGTTTTAATTAACCATTTTCCCATTACAATGATGAATTACCTTTCCAATATCATGAAACTGATGGTGATAACATTATTCAGGCATGTACTAATATATACTATGCTTAGAGAAAAAAATCACTAATTATAGTACTGTTAGCCTGCTACATGATTTATATCAGACTTCTCTGGATACTAAGTACAAGCTTTCTCATCTACATGCACGTTTTATTTTTACATTTTATGAACATTTTGATTAAACTTCCCTGAGAAGTTCGTTAGGGACTGTAGTCCCTTTGGTAAGTCACTAAGTCTTTCTCTTAACAACTCTTATTATTTGCCCCCAGGGAATTAAAGATTATAATATTCTGACAAGGATCACTCAGCTCGGAATAATTATCTCACTGATTTGCCTCGCCATCTGCATTTTCACCTTCTGGTTCTTCAGTGAAATCCAAAGCACCAGAACCACAATTCACAAGAACCTCTGTTGCAGCCTTTTTCTTGCAGAGCTTGTGTTTCTTGTTGGGATCAATATAAATACAAATAAGGTACCCAGCCTGCCCCCGCTGTACTGTATTCTTAAGTTTTCTTGTAGTTTCTTTTTTTTCCTAACAACATGTCACATGAACATGAACCATAATAAAGGTCTTAGTGGAGCAGACATGTTAGATAATTGTTGGTAATAATTAAGTTATCTATTCTAGATTTGATAATGCTAACATATCTAAATGGCACACTTGTCAAATTCATTAAACAAAAATATCCTTCATTTTGTGAATTACTGGGAAAACCAAAATTGTATACCAGAGAAATCCCTGCTTTTGCATGAGCAATAAGAAGGGACCATAGAGGAGTGGAAATGAAGTTTGCTTTAGGATTGAGAGTAAACACAAAAACAGTCACAATTGGAGTGACCTGAGGCCTCACCAAAAAGCCTCATATTCTAAAATCTATATCTGCACACAAGTGGGACCTGACATAGGGTTAAGCATTAACTCATTTATTAACGTGTGTGCTCATGAAAGAAATTGGAATTGCAGACCAGAAGAGCCAGGCAACAAATTTTGACCCTGAGTGCAGGAAAGAAGGGAGAACAGTACCTTCTAAGAGGCAACTCAGGGTTGCCATGGAGTCCTTTGAGGAATTCGTTACTGATCACAAGAATGCTCCTTGGTCTCTAGGCAACTAGGATATCTGTAACCCAATGGCTGCCAGTAGCCTTAGGTGAGGGTGTGAACAACATTCAAGTTCACACACAACAGCAGCAGTTAGAATCCTAGCCACCTTCCATGCGCTGGCTGGAGAAATGTATTCTTGGGACCACAAAGCAGAAAAGCAACTGTGCACTTCTGTCCCTCTTGGAAATCTTCCAGGAGCTAAAGTTGGTAACCATTCATTGAGTTTTCCCTCTGAATTAGGCACCATGAAACACCCTTTGTGTGTGTGTGTGTGTGTGTGTGTGTGTGTGTGTGTGTGTTATCTCTATGCTTTGCAGCAGGATTCATGATGCCTCTCCATTTTATATTCCCCTCAGCCCTCAAGTGTATTTTTCTTTTTTCCCTTTTCCCTCATTTTTGTTCTACAAGTCTTACTTAGTATTTTTGTCAACTCCTTCCTGTCAAATCTACTTGTTTTTAAGCTCTTTATCATAACCAATTTCCTCATAAGTGAGTTCCAAATTTCAACTTCTTGAAATCTTTCTGCTCCTCACCTTTATACATTAGTCTCCCACATATTTTAACATATACACTTATCCTTGAAATATAGTTTTAATTTTTTAGTTTTATTTACTTTATGAGTATGAGTGTTTTACCTGCATGTATGTCTGTATACACTTGCATGTCTAGTGTGGGATGAATTCAGAAGAGGCCATTGGAATCCTTGGAACTGTAGTTACAGATTGTTATAATCACCATGGGTGCTGGGAGCCATAACTGATCCTCTGTAAGTTGATATTCCTAGCCACCTAGCCATTTCTCCATTACCTATACCATTTTAATGAGGAAAATAAACATTATATTGTGTGATCACCACAGTAATAAATATTACCAATTTTACTAATCAATTATTAGCTCTCATACACTTAATTCCAGGGCTAAAGAGATGGCTCAGTGCTTAAGAGCATTTGGTGCTCTTGACAAAGACCAGACTTCAGTTCCCAATACCATATCTGGTGGCTCACAACCACTCATTAAGTCCAGGCTCGAGAAATCTGACATCAACTTCTGGCCTGCAAAGACACAATATGCATATGGCATCCATACAGACACAGAGAGACACAAACATACACATCATTAAAAAAAAAAAGCAAATTTATCTCTAATTCCAGTTCTAAGTAATAAGTAAATACTCGTGAATGAAAAGACATTTCAAATTTGTATAGGATTCTGACAACTCTAAGCAATTCCACAATGGATATTTAGGTAAAATATACAATATGTACATTTTAAATTATGCCACTTAATCAGGATGCTCACTTTGTTTTATATAGTTTAACAATAATATACATTATTTGAACTTTGTTAAAATGGAAAGAACAATGATATCCAGACAGAAGCCAGTTTAAACCATTACACAGCCACTGAGAAACAGTGTAAGTGTGAAGAGTCCCCAATTTATCCCAGAACATCAATGCACATAAATAGCAAACCTCTGGACAAATCAACAGCTGAATCCTATCACAAGATCATTTGGCACTTCCATGGACGAAGTGCAGTTCTTTTAAATCAGCCACGAGCAGAACATCTTAAAAACAAAACTGACGAGACACGAATATTTTACTATGATCGTCATGATATAAAATATCATTCATGAAGAAGGTTGAGAGAGAGAGATGATAATTTTAAAGAAAATGTTACTTATGATTTCTCCCTTCTTTTTCATTCCAGTTGGTCTGCTCTATCATTGCTGGCCTGCTCCATTACTTCTTTTTAGCTGCCTTTGCCTGGATGTGCATTGAAGGCGTACACCTGTATCTCATCGTTGTTGGAGTCATCTACAACAAGGGTTTTTTGCACAAAAACTTCTATATCTTTGGCTATCTCAGCCCAGCTGTAGTTGTTGGATTCTCAGCATCCTTAGGATACAGATATTATGGTACCACCAAAGTGTAAGTTAAACAGACTTTATGGGCATTTGAAAGATACTGCTAAGTACTCTGCATATGTTTAAGAATGTTGTTTCGCTAGAGTCCATGTAGCGTATTTACTGATTTTATCTCTCACTTACTTTTCAGATGTTGGCTAAGCACCGAAAACAATTTCATTTGGAGCTTCATAGGACCAGCTTGTCTAATCATTCTTGTAAGTATATAAAAATTGCTAATAGAATTTAAGGACTAGCTATGTTTGAGAAGAATGTTCCCAAATCAGGCACTGTACTTTGTAAAAAGTGATTTTCACCACTTTGTGTCTATTGTTTGGTACCATTTAATATATTGCATTAGGATGGAGAAAAATACATAACTTGTAAGTGAAAACCAGTTACTATTCATTCCCTTCTCTTGGAGGAGGATAATTTTTGCGTAGTGTAATAAGAGAATGTCAGCAGTATCAGTCTGTCTTATCACTAGTGTCTCTGCATCCCGAAACACTGAAAGTGTGCCAACCACCTGATAATCTGGCATTTCAAATGTTTATGTTATTTCATCTTTTATCGATGATCGGTCATCTTTGAAATTTAGACTGTTATCTTCAGAGTTTTGTCATCTTTATGTACCCTGTCATCACAAAATGATTTTAAACTAAATTGCAACATCGGAGACAAGAACCCACTATTTCACACAAGCAGACAAGTTGTCTATTGATGGTGCTATTCCAACAAGGAAGAGGCCTTTTAATTCTTATTGAAAGTGGTTTCAAACCTACAAATTTGGCAGGTATTATATGTTCCAGTCTGAATAAAGACATTTTTATATGTCTTGCAAGCATTTCTGAATGCTGAAAGTTTTCAGCAACCATTTCGAATATAATAGTCTGTCAATGAATAAGGAAGACCTGACGAGATGTAAGAATGGGATAAATTGTCAAAACAAAAACTGTGAGAATATTTTGGACAACTCTGTCCCATGTGATTTGGCCATAAACTAGACTCTGCTTTCCTTTCTCTCTCTTTTCTCTTGAATCATTTAAGATTGTGAGGGAACTGCTCAATAGAAATGACTTCATGTTTAAAGCAGAGAGCTCTCATCAAGAATTGCTTTCCAGTAATGTGGGTATAATCAAGTACATTAAAAAATTGTGCTTCCTAATGACCACAGACAATTGTTCATAATTTTCAGAGTTAATCCAGCAATGTTTTTAAACTGCTGGATAGGTATTAAATTAGACCACCATTTGGTCTAATTTAATTTATTAGAGCTTCAATTTTACAGTCTATATCATAATACATACAAAGTTGTATCTAATTCACATATCTTCATTGGTGGTTTTGATATGACTGTTTCATGTGAAAACATTTTATGTGTTCTATTCTACTAATATCTTCTCCACAAAACAAGTAAACAATAATTCTTACTGCTTATATGAAACATGGAAGTGTAGGAATTTTGCTGAAAACAGAAAAATTTGTTTCTTGAAAGCAAGACGGGGTCATGTTTTTCACAATTTAAAGGTAGATACTACAGAGTGAATTACTCAGACTCTGGATGGGCTGTCTAAAACCTAGTCCTGAAAACCCTCCAGAGATGTCAGTGAACAAGTGTCAGTCACCGTGCTCTAATTTGGAACAAACAAACTAGTCGACTTTCTGTGCAGATTTAGTGTGCTAGTCTTTCCCAGGTCGACCAGAAGGTCGGGTTGCTTAAGAAACAGGTGGGGCAACTCAGTTTTCTCTAAAACTCGTAACATTCTAATTGTTGTGTCTTACAAATACTAACTACTCTATCAAAGGGAGTCAGTTAACGCTAGTCATGTTGACTCTGCAGCCACACTTAAATATCTTGATGGCGCAGTGGCACAGGGTGTCAACTGAAACATTACTCTCACCACAGAATAACTTCTTGTTCAGTGATAAAGTCAGAGAAACTGTGCTCCAATAATTTTTTCCTTGGCCTGAAATATATATATATATATATATATATATATATATATATATATATATATATATATATATATTGCAGAAGACAACAGGGCAGGAAATATCTCAATATAGAAGGTCCCTGGTTATGAGTCCTTGGGCACAGTAGAGTACAATGTTTCTAGCGCTTTTGTTGTTGCTGCCAGTGTTAGGGAAAGATGATGATCCCCCAAGGATAGCAAAGGTATGGTGAACATACTTTTATGTGCTCACTGAAACGTGTCTCCTTATTGCAGCCCATATGTGAGCACAGAGCCACCCACCCACTTCTGAGTTTCCTGCAAGCTGCATGCTTCCTAGAGTATGTAATAGGGAAGAAGGGGAAGAGTTATCATGCAGTATTCCTAAAACTGAAAGAAAGGGAAAACACACAGAAACTTCAGCTCTTATAAACAGAGAAATACATCCATATCCAAGCATACTGAGACAAAGCTCTAGTCTTAGAATTTGAGACACTAATACGAGTATATCATGACACCACCATCTTCCTTTATTTACATAGCAGTTTCAAAACAGCCTGGGCTAGAAAAGAAAATTCTGTCTGGAAATAAAACACAAAAAAGAAAAAAGAGGGGAATGAAGGAAGTATGTGAGGGAGAGAAAGAGGAAGGGGAGAAGGGAAGAAGGAAACAAGAGAGGAAGGGAAGGAAGGAGGCAAAAGGAAAAAAGAAAAAAGGAGAGAAAGAAAATGCAAGAAAAAGAGGTGAGCAAGAGGTCTCAGGCCTCTCAGGTCAAACAATGCTGCCAACAACTAAGAAAAGGGGTCGAATATAAACATGGTTGCTTCTTTCTGGTGAAGAGAGCTACCAGTGTAGAAATAGAGTGCTATACATACCTGCTTATGGAGATGGAGAGAGCTGGGAGAGGATTTAACTGTGAACTTGAATTGCTGTCCAGCAGCCTTTTGAGCTTGGAGGAATCCTTTTGAAGAACAGCAAAGGGCAGAGCAAGAAACAGCATTGAAAACCAGGCACTATTATGGGCTTATTTGTATGAGTACCGGAGAATTAATTTTCACACAAGTATCACCCTGCTCTACAATATTAGTTCTTACTAACTAACCAGCGAAACTAACTAACAACTAAATGAACTTACAAACTAAATAAATTAAATAACAACTAAATAAACTTATCTAGTTCACTACTTTTACAGCCAGGCCTTTTCTATCCTCTCACTAGCTTTCTAGTATTAAAAAACGAGTGTTACAAATTACTAAGTACACACTACTTTGACACACATGGCTATTACTTTAATACTCAGTAACCCTTAGACATTCTATAGTTTTATTATCCCACTAGAACATTTAAAAATGAGATTTCAAAATGATAAGTGATTGGCATATGCATAGCTCTATAAGCAGGACTTGAAGCTATTTCTTGCCTTTATTTCTAAACCACGGCTTTTTTTTTTTCTTAACTCTTCTGTAACTACCTTCTGATCGCTTTTTCCTACCATTATCTCTCATCTTGGGGTGGTCTGAGCTGATGTGAGTCCATCTTAGCCTTGGTGCTGACAGTTCTCTTCTCCTGGACAGGCCAAGAACACAAGTAATGATGGAGTCTTGGGAATCTATGTCTCTCTTCCTGTTTTCAGCCTTCTCTTACCATGCCTCCCCCAAACACAGCCTTTAGCCTTGTTTGTTCACTTGCTTGAAAATTTTGGGGAGTCTTTTCCTTCCATAATCTTGACATTTTCTGTAAAGTTCTGCTTTCAGAAATTATTAATTAGTGCAGAGAGTCATGGGACCTTTCTCAGACTTGAAACCATTCTATTTCTTTAATGTGGTCACATAAAATTTGAATTCTAATCCTCTGTTGTACCTTTAACACTCTATTATTGCACATGATAACTTTCTGTGTATACTTTTGGGCAGCCCCAGAACACATAAGAGCCTAATGAGTCCTCAGTAATCACTTTTAAATTTTAATTGATTTGCTAATAAAACCACGGTAATGCATGAGGCAACAAGAAAGGCCATGTGGTCTTTCTTTGGGTATTTGATTGTTCTGCATCCTAGACTCCTAAAAGATAAATGAAGAGAATAATGTCAGAATAGCTCACCATGCAATGATAAATATCATGCTTTATAAAGCACCCATTCTTCAGCAATGAGAAAGGAAAACCCCAAATACTTCCAAAGAAAAGCTTATGACTATGCTCTTCTTACTTCTTGCACTAAAAAGTCAAACAAAAGGACAAATTTTGAAACAAGATTTCCAAAGTCCCAAATCATATGCATTAGAATATGTGCAATCATATACAGCACATGTGCATGTCTGTGTCTGTGCTGATCCTAGCTTTGAAAATGTTAGCGAATATGTCACAGCATTTGATTATAGCAAAATATAATATATGTGCCTACTTTTATCTAGTTTGTGGTTTGCCGTACCCTCTGCCAAAAAAGTTAACTAAAACAGAGAAATTAAAATAGAAACTTAATAAAAGATAAATAATATTAAGTTTCTAGAATAAAGACAAAGGATAAGTTTAGTTTAAATTTAAATGGATAGTTAGTGGTGATGGTTTTGTAACCCTGAGTGAGAGACAAGCCTTGTTTAAGATGTAGGGATGCTCTGGTCCTTTCACAGTTGCCATGGTCTTACATGGTGTCCTGAATGCAATCTACAAGACTGAATCACCATAAATACCACTAGCTAGTGTTTAAGGACAGAGCTCAGGGGTAGTCTGGGCTTCAAATTGGAACATAAAATGCCTTTGAGACACAGTATGAATGAATAATAACTGAATTATTTCTTGATGTTCTTGGGTATGTTGCTTCAAACACATATTCATCCATTTAGTTTTCTGTGATAAGAGTCAGCTGCTAAAATATTTGAACAGCAACATTTTCTCTGTAGATGACACACAAGCCTTTCCTCAGATATGAGCTTATTAATATTAAGGATCACTCTTGCATTCAGAAATAAGACACTGGTGACCCCATTGATTCTATCTATGAATCACGACATTTAAAAATTTAAGATTGTGACTTCACATGAGAAGATCCACTATGCTTTTGAAAGTAAACTGGATAGGAAAGAGAATTTTACATTTTTGGAAAAGTAAGCCTCAAGCTGCAGAAAATGTCCATAATTTTTCAATATTTTTAATCTTTAAGGTTGAGTCTTTTAGTAAAACCTAGCTGTTAGATTCAAGTAAACAAATATAAAAATGAAATTATAAAAAAATTAGGTAATTTTAAATAGAAATTGAATGTTCCTGTAGA